TCCGTCCTTTTCGCCACCGCTGTCCCCCCCCCCCCCCGCCCCTCGCTAGCCTCGTCCCCTCGCTGTGCCCCCCCCCCACGTTAGCCTCATTTTCTTACTGTGCCCCCCCCCCCCCCCCGGTGGCCTTACCTCTTCGTTGTGCCCCACGCTGGCCACGTCTCCTAGCCGTCCCTTCCGCCAATCTCTTCCGCTGTACCTCCCGCTAGCCTGGTCTCCTCGCTGTGCCTCCCGCTAGCCTCGTCTCCTCGCCGGCCTCCCGCTAGCCTCGTCTCCTCGTTGTGCCCCACGCTGGCCACGTCTCCTAGCCGTCCCTTCCGCCAGTCTCGTCTTCTCGCTGTACCTCCCGCTAGCTTCTCCCCCTCGCTGTGCCTTCCGCTAGCCTCATCGCCTCGCTGTGCCCCACGCTGGCCACGTCTCCTAGCCGTCCCTCCCACTAGCCTCGTCTCCTCGCTGTGCCCCACGCTAGCCTCGTCCTCTCGTTGTGCCCCCCCCCCCCCCTCCCCGCTAGCCGCGTCTCCTAGCCGTCCCTTTCGTTAGTCTCGTCTCCTCGCTGTACCTCCCGCTAGCCTCGCCTCCTCGCTGTGCCCTCCGCTAGCCTCGTCTCCTCGCTGTGCCCTCCGCTAGCCTCGTCTCCTCGCTGTGCTCGACTCGACCGTCATCAAACTTAAGACTTCGTTGTTACCCTCACCCTAGTAGAACTCCCGTAAGATTTTGATGCGCGACACCCGGCAAGGACATCCGTGTGATCCCTACACATCTAAATACTGTTATGTTATTCCCACCCGTCGAAATACGATTGGGTGAACTTCACGCAGGCAAGTGTGTGTCAATCCTAAATGCCCGAGTGCACTCATGTGACCCCCACCCAAAGTGATGCCATCATGTGAGATTTTTGCTCCATTTTTCACTAGTGCCTAGGACCACTGTACAAAGTCATGTCCCTGGTGTAGTTTGACCTTCAGTGCTTTGTGCGCATTCGTCATATGTGAAATATTTACTCGACGTTTTTTCTTTGCAGCTCAGAATGAAGTATGATTGACCAAACCGACAAAAAAAATACACGGCCATAGGGAAGGTTGTCGATTCCAACATTACCTTCCTTTCTGACGCTCACTCCCGTTGATAGGCCATCTGTCCACTGCACTGCTGCCCACCAACGTCTGGGTGACACTGCGTTACATCACCTTCCTTTCCGACGCTCACCCCCGCTGGGAGACCATCTGTCCACTGCATTGCTGCCTACCAGCGCCTGGGTGACGCTGCTTTACATGCCACGGCTGCCGCTCATTTATCCGCACAAACGCCGGTGAATGTGCCCGCTGCCCTGCGCGTGGTGCAGCGGGAGCAAGGCGTCGTCGACTCACCCGTCAACGATGCACTTGGGTGGGTAGCGCGCGTCGAACGAGGACGCCTGCACGACGTTGCTGCCGGAGGCGCTGAGTCCCAGGTCGGTCATGGCGACGGCCGCTGGTAAACGAACGTGACCTTTCAACCGTAACCTGTCGGGGCGGTCAGCGGGTCACGGGCCGGGCGGCGTTAGTACGGCAAGGGCGTGATGCGCCGTCGTCGGTGGGGGAGACGCCAGCTTAGCCTCGCGTGCTGGCATGCGGCCTGGAATGCGGCGTGCTTGGAATGCGCAGACATTCTCACTGCAGGGGGCAGGCTTTCATCAAGGTCGGGGAGGCCAGACGGCGACAGTTGTGGCAGCGCCATCAAACTCTTCATCACGATCGGGGAGGCCAGATGTCGACAGCCGTGGGAGGGTCGTCAAACTCCTCTCTCATATACAAACACCCGCTACTCCGCCATGCGTGAGAATTCGAACTTGTGACGCACCATTGTCACGGTCTACAGCATGAATTAAGCTAAAATGGCAACGGAACCCCACCCGCAATTTTTGCAGAGCTCTGTCCGCGTTTACGTTCGTCGTTACGTGTTTGGGGCACGCTTGTCTGAGAATAGCCTACCGCATGCAATTCACATCTAGATGCAGCAGCCAAGTAGCGTCAATTATAGTTTTTGGCATACCTCGTGCGCATGGCGCAAAGTCAAAGGCGACACGACACCGCTCACCACCAGTTGATGACGCGGCTGCCGCTGCCTGCAACGGCAGCAACAGCGACGAGCCGTCATGTGGCGGGACCGGCAGCGTGGTCGGCAGACGCAGGTGGCTCACCCGGCCCAGCTCCTCCGTCTGCTGAGCACTTCAGTGGAGGCCGTTACCTGACGACTAGTCGCCCTCGGCACCGGAGCGCCCCGCGGCCGGTGTCTGCTGCTGCTGAGCCGTTACCTACCGACTGCTCGCCCTCGGCGCCGGAGCACTCCGCGGCCGGTGTCCGCTGCTGCTGAGCCGTTACCTACCGACTGCTCGCCCTCGGCGCCGGAGCACTCCGCGGCCGGTGTCCGCTGCTGCTGAGCCGTTACATACCGACTGCTCGCCCTCGGCGCCGGAGCACTCCGCGGCCGGTGTCTGCTGCTGCTGAGCCGTTACGTACTGACTGTTCGCCCTCGGCGCCGGAGCACTCCGCGGCCGGTGTCTGCTGCTGCTGAGCCGTTACGTACTGACTGCTCGCCCTCGGCGCCGGAGCACTCCGCGGCCGGTGTCTGCTGCTGCTGAGCCGTTACATACCGACTGCTCGCCCTCGGCGCCGGAGCACTCCGCGGCCGGTGTCCGCTGCTGCTGAGCCGTTACATACCGACTGCTCGCCCTCGGCGCCGGAGCACTCCGCGGCCGGTGTCTGCTGCTGCTGAGCCGTTACGTACTGACTGCTCGCCCTCGGCGCCGGAGCACTCCGCGGCCGGTGTCTGCTGCTGCTGAGCCGTCCGTCCGTCCGTGCGCGGCCAGCGCCGCTGGCGTGCGGCCTCGCTCCAGCGGCCAGCGGTGGCGTCGGCCGGCGCCCACCGGGCCGTCGATAACGGCGTAACGACGATAAACAGCAGCGGCATCGACCGGCGTGCACCTCCGGCCCGTGTCCGGTGCCCCTCCCCCCTGCCCCGGCCGCGGGCCAGGCCATTACCGGCCGCCAGGCGGCCTGGCGTGACGGCCGGCAGGCCCATCAAACGCCGCAGTGTGGGGCCAGCCAGTCACGCGGCTATCCCAGCTGTGCTCCACCTCCCGCCGTCACGCTTCGAGGTGCGAGCTTAGGGCACGTTCATTGCGTTCAATAGCGCTGAGGAGCACCCTGACTGGGCGTGCGTGCGTGCGTGCGAGTGTGTGGTGTGTGTGTGTGTGTGTGTGTGTGTGTGTGTGTGTGTGTGGTGTGGGTGTGGGTGTGGGTGTGGGTGTGGGTGTGGGTGTGGGTGTGGGTGTGGGTGTGGGTGTGGGTGTGTGTGTGTGTGTGTGTGTGGGTGTGTGTGTGTGTGTGTGTGTGTGGTGTGTGTGTGTGTGTGTGTGTGTGTGTGTGTGTGTGTGTGTGTGTGTGTGTGTGTGTGTGTGTGTGTGTGTGTGTGTGTGTGTGTGTGTGTGTGTGTGTGTGTGTGTGTGTGTGTGTGTGTGTGTGTGTGTGTGTGTGTGTGTGTGTGTGTGTGTGTGTGTGTGTGTGTGTGTGTGTGTGTGTGTGTGTAATTTTTAAGCATGTTAGGAATGACCCTCCACCGGGATTAATGTGCCCTTCTCGCAGGTGCAAACTCATCTACGTTACTTCCGTCATCCAGGTTTACCCATGGCATTTGCACCGACACCGACAGTTGCTCTTGACGTTAAAAGGAGTGTTCCACATTTGCATGGGGTTTTGCACGGAAACGACCATCTTAAGGAGCAGTCGGTGTAGTTCAGAGCCCTACCCTTCCGGAGACTCCAGTCTCTGAGCTACAGGCCGCGAAGACGTGCAGACTACTCCGGGGAGACTTTTTCAAGGTCAACCAGGCTCCCATGTCATAATAACGTTGTTCATTTTTTGTCGTTCCATTAGCCGTGCAGCGATCAAGGCCAACAAAAGTGTAGTTGTCGAGTCATCCATATCTGGCGTTGGTGACCACAATTGTCAGACATGACGGCTGCTAATTCGCTCTGAATCAATGCGCAAGGCGGCATGACGTATTTGGGAGCATAGGTACTGAGCAGGGAAACACTGTTGTCTAGGGTAGTATTTTCCAATTGAAGGTATACCAAAAGTTATAAGTGAGCTTATTTCATCCTATATGATGCTTGCTTCGATGTCTTCAAGTGTGAAGCATTCCAGCTGAAGCGATAGTAATGGCCTTGCTTCAAATAGAGAAACCAGGAGAATGGGGTGGTAAATGCATTGGTACTTTGGTGACATGCATCTATCGAAAAGAACAACAACAGTAAATTCAAAGTTGCCTAACCATCCTACTCAATTTTTCGAGTTTTTCAACCCTAAGCCACAGTTTTTACGTGCCACCAACACTCAGTGGATTAAACAAAGAGCAATTGCTAGCCATTACTACGATAAAGCGCATATCTAACTAAGAATTGAAATACGCGAAAAATACGTTTGCATGCAAACGATTTCAAGGTAAACAGGCATCACGCATCATTTAAACATGCAAACGATAGCAATTAGCAGGCATCGCGCTTCACGCGTCGGGCATCACATACACATGTGGACAATTTTAAGCTGGCACACATCACAAATAAAAGGACTTATCATATTCGCATAATCAGCCATGACGAGCCCTGTGCTTCAAAATCTGGTCGCCGACCTTTTATAAGAAAAATTCACTTATTTTCCTGTTTGGCATGGCCCTGTGCTCTGTATATGCCTTTTAGTTTTAAGAGAAGTATAGGGTCCATGCCTTCCCGGATTTCAGCCTGGATGTGTTTTGCCAAAAAGGCCACCGAATGGGGTATTTTCTGTTTTGTTTTCAGCGTCTCGCAGGTGCTCATTATATCTCAAAGGAGTAAGGTGCATGTATTTCCCGGCACAGACTATGTCCCTCCCTACGTTCATCACACAATTTACACTAAATTTCATAAAGCACTTCCTTGCGTGCAAACCCTCTGAACCTGAGGCTTGCATAAATGACATCTATTGCCCCCCCCCCCCTTCCCGGCACTTGTACTTCGATCTCGAAGCATATACGCGTGTGTGTGTGTGTGTGTGTGCGTGTGTCGTGTGTCCAACATCCAACGTCCGGGTATGTGCACACGATGACCCAAGAGCACGAAACAGTGATCTGGTGCTGGATAGCTCTGTGCGGCAAACCAGGTATACTCTGAAGCATCACTACCCATCGGGATCCATGTAGGTCGGGGTGGTGAATTAGAGGGCAGGGGCAGTTACCCAGCCCCCCTCTCCCCACCACCCACCACCCCCAGCTTCCAGCAACATTCGGCAGTTAGCCCTGTAAATGACTGAGCCTGAATGGCGGTGCAAAAATGGCGATAACAAAATGGCGTTAAATGGAATTAAACAAGATAAAAATCACGTCTACCCCTAAATCTCCACCGAAATTCCACCGCCTCTGATTAAGGGTGCATTATTTCTTACAGGCTGCACTACTACAATCAGAAACCTGTCTAATTTACTCCATCTGAAATACTCAGATGTTTCTATACGCCCTAAGTAGTGTGCATTTCTGAAGTGAATAGTGGAAAAACCGTTCCTTTCTCTTTTAAGTACTGGTTTGTGCTTTTTGTAGGAGCACTGAGTGTGGTATGGCTAACAGTTTTATTAGGCGACTTCTTCCCACGTTTTTCCCCATTGTTGTGGAAAAAGAAGACCTACCAGTCTACGCTTCCTATGGCTTAACATTGCCTCACGTTGATGTCCTCTCATTGTGTTGCTCAAATTAAATTCAAAGACTCGTCTTAAACAGCCCTGTTTTTTAACCTTCATAAAGTCTAACCGTGAATGAGATCAAGGCTAAATTATAGTCTTTTTAACCTAAACGCAAGAGAACCGTTTTAGGACGTCCTTTAAGTCCCCTCCCCACTCAAATCATTTTGTGACACCCAGCCTTTCCCAAAAAGAGCGCAGCTATAGATACATACATATATATATATATATATATATATATATATATATATATATATATATATTACATTCTGAACTGGCTGGACAGACCTTCTTCCAAAGTCCTAGTCGGAAACAGGTTCCACACATTTCAAATCATTTTATCTTTATATCCTTTTCAGTCTGGTTCCCTCGGGACATTCAGGTTGTTTGTACCATATTAACGAGCACAAATTTTGTAAGGACCCTATGATGTCATAACCTATATGAACCCCCTGTTGCACCACACCAGTCAATATTAGCTTTTGCGCTCATCTTGGTTGTCAAACGCCGCCGAGCGGGCAGAATTTCCGTCGTTGAATTTATGAATGGGAAAGTTTCTTTGGAGATGGGGCCCAAAAGTCTACATGTGGGCCCAAAAGTTATAAAAATGTGTTGTTTGGTTCCTAGTGCGAGACATGTTTTGATTCCGACAACGTACGGGTTTTCCAGTCGAACCTGCCGACATGGGAATCATGAGGCCTACGCAGTTGATACAACATGTTTGGTAGAATCAGCTCTTTTAACAAGCGCTAGGATTAGGGTCCAATCGACCCCCGAAATATTTTTCTAGAATGGTTTCCGAAAAAATCAATACATAGGTGTGCAAATGGCTACACATCCTACCTTATTTAAAAATGAAAACAGCTGAGTCGTCGCAAGAACGCAAGAGTCGTCACCAATGATGTCTGAATTGATAAGAACTGGAGCATCTCTTCCAAAATAGCGTAACCGCTGTTCAGCAAAATGCGGACATAGTTGCATGATGTGGTATACTGTGAGTGGCGCATCGCAGCGAAGGCAGTAACGCCGTTCTTCACCGCGCAGAAGACAGCCATGCGTCGCGTGCGTATGACCAATGCGTGTTCGGCAAAGGACTATTTCTTCCCGTCTCGCGTCGCGTGAGCTCGCCGGCCATAGGCCTATCTGCGGCTTAATGACTTTCAGCTTACTGCTTGCTGTGGCGTCCCATAGACGTTGCTATTTTCCTTTAATAAATGCCGTAATGGCAGGGTAAAAGTTTTTGGCCAGTAGGGGCAAAATGCGAGTGCAAGGTGCGCACGCTGCTCGTTTTACCGCCGCATCGCCGATGCACGCGCCCGCGTTTTGCCGCCGCATCGCATCACTCATCACCTGTGATGCCTACGTGGCTGAATATCCAACATAAGACGACAGTTTCGCCCGCGCGATCCAGCGCTGTCAGGCGAATCAAAATGTCCTGTATAACGGGACATGGCGAGTTAAAAGTTGACAAAGCCTATAAACTGCTGAAAGAGTCAGAGATGATCAGGTGTAAATTGTCTTCACCGATTTCGATGAAACAAAGGGCGTTATTTATGGCAACGAGCTCGGATGTATACACGGAGGCGTCTTTCTTGGCAAAGGAAACGACCGGGTGACTTGGCCGCTCAGAATCGCAGATCCTACTCCCGTCTCCGTTTTCGAGCCGTCTGTACATGTTGTTTGGAAGTCTATGTACAAGGCAATGTGCTCCAAGGCCCGTACCTTAAGGCCGGCTGGGGTCTCGCGCTGTTTACTGGTGCATGACAGCGAGACATCCACCTTGGGCTTCGTCAGTTCCCACGGGGTACCAAAGTGCAACGGAACCTTGTTAATTGAACTGAATGCAACACCACGCAAGTTAATGCTGCTGTTACGGAATAGCTCCTTCATTTGCACACCAAAAGGTATACCATCAAGCCTTCGGCCGTTTTGAAACATGTGTTCTATGCGTCGTGAACAAACAACTGCTCGGTGGGTCGGGTGGTTTGAAAATTGCGGCAACTTGGAAGCGTACCACATTCCCACCACTTTTCTCCTGAGAGACAACGGCAGTTC